GGCAGGGAGGGGGAAAATGAGTTGAAACCAATGGCTAAAGTAGAAAGAAAATGTTTTGAGAATGGTAAGTGTTCTTGACACAATGGATGTATGTATGGATTGTGATGAATTGTACAAGTCCCAATAAAAAGATTTTTTAAAAAGGTATTGATAACTAATACCCATATTAATTTTATTGTGCTAGCAACATGGTTGCCATGGGTCAGAATTGACTAGATGTGGCAGTGAGAGGCAAAATGCTATGAGCCCTGCATATGTACATGTCACAATGCAGAATGACTTTTAGACTTGGGAGAGAATTCTGAACTCATCTAAGGAAACCCATTAGTATTAATATTTATAACAATTAGATTTAAATTTAGTGACTAAAAATTGGGTTAATTTTCTGGACTCCTAAAACGAGTTTTCCCAACTATTTGTGAGAAAGGTACTTGTATCTGTGAGAGCAGAGATGGGAATTTAAACAAAATGCCAACATCAAATAGAAATTATTTTGCATCTTTTAACCCTTTCTTCCCGTACTGGATTGCTTGCTCACTGTCCCCACTCAAAATGTGTCCTTCTTACTACCTCCTGGCTACTTTCTTAACTTTGGAACAAGCGTACCATTTTTGTTTTGCTTTTGTAATCTCAAACTATTTAATCATGGATCTCTCCCCAGCATGACTTATAGAATAACGAGGGAGGAATATGATGGGGCACGGTTTGGGGGAGGGAACTCTGAGCTAGGACACTGGGAAGCAGCGGGGGAGGGGGTGGGGGTGGCAATAGAGCCACCAAAGCCATAGCACTCACAACCCTACGTCCCTCCCTGTCCCTGGGTTGCTTGCAGTGTTCTCCCCACCTCCATTGGGGATAGAAGCAATGGGAGAGGGGGCCTTTGTTTTGCTCCTTCTCAGCATTACAGGTCAAGTTGGGACTCGACAACAAAGAGCAGGTAAGGACAAAAACTAAGTACTGTTTTTTCAATTAGGTGGTGAAATTACCTGTTATGCAAAAGAAACAGTTGTGGTTTTCCCCAAGTGTGTCCTGCTTGGAGCCCATTAAAGTGCTGTTATTAGCAGGACATAACTGGGTCCATGTTAAAATACAGAGAAGGGAAAGGATGATCACATTTGTTCGTTGCCATTCCGGCTCATAACCCTGTGTGCGGAGTAAAACTGCTCTATAGCTTTCAAGGCTGTGATGTTTTGGAAGCAGATCACCAGGCACCTCAAAATCAAATTCAAACTCACTGCCGTCAGATTCCGATTCATTGCAACCCTGTAGGACATAGAACCACATCACCCCTCCCCCATTGGCGTCTGTAATATTTGACAATCAGAAAGCTTCATCTTCCTGAGCAGCAGCTGGTAAGATCCAAACTGCACGCCTTGTGGTTAGCAGCCCAATGTGTAACAACCACCCACCTATGCCACCAGGGCTCATCCAGATGCCCCTGGGTGGGTACAAATCAGTTTTTTGCTTAGAAGCCAAGTGCTTAGCTGTTTGCATCATCCGTGGACTTCAGGACTGCCGTGTACAAGACAGTACATGTAGCACTACTTCTCAGATTTTGCTATGTCTGTATGCCAGAAGCTGGTGGCGCAGCGATTAAGCGCTTGGCTGAAAACCCACAGCTGGGTGGCTTAAAACCAAAGATGTGGCAGTCTGCTTCCTTATTTATAGCCTTACAAACTCTCTGGGGGCAGTTCTGAGTCAGAATCCATTTGACTGTAATGGGTTTTATTTTTTAATATACATTTATCATACCCTATCTGCTTGTCAATAACAACTCTAAGTTGGACCCATAACATCACAGCCAGAAAGTGTCTTCTCTCCCCACTTGTGAAGCAAACATGGGAAGAATGAAAACCTTTGTTAGGAATTGTGTTCCCCAAACACTGAAGACATAACTCTTGCGAGTATTAATGCAACCTTGTTGGAAACAGGCTTTTCCTTGTTTTATCTGTTAAATGGAGGTTCTACCAGGTTACTGGGGAATCCTTCTGAGTGATGTTTTATAAATGGGAAGAACATTTGTGGAAATAGTCACACCATGAGTCAGACTGGCAGCCAGCCCATTTGGTTATGCTTATGAAGTTAAGGCCAATATAAATGTAGTAGTAAATCAACCTATTATTGTATTTCCTGGCTGAAAATGATAGTAAATCAAATAGAATCACTCTTATACAGTAGTTCACATATAAAACTATCTATGTGGAAGCAGCACACCAGCTTTTGTGACCCAAAATATGTAAACAATAAAGTTCAAAGAATGGTACCATCAAAGCTTAAATTCTGAATACCTAGTTTGCAAAAGGCTATGGATGACAGTGGAAGCCAAAAAACCCATTTATAAGGTCCTCACAATCTTGCTACCAGCCAGATCATTGTAAAGTCGATTATGGCAGGTGGCTAACATGTACACCTGTATCATTTGATCTTTTTGACCCATTTTAAATTGCTTGAAACAACTGATGTATAGAATGTTTTAAAAGTTGTAAGAGCCCCCAATATAATGATTTTAAAAATTCTAAAACTATCCCCAAAAAGCTTTTTTTTCCTAGAGATTTTTGTTTTATCTTACGTTATATGATTTTCTGCACATAAAGATCAACAATTATCTAGAGGTATGCTAGGTGAGGTTGGGGAAAATGGGGCACTAACAAGTACGAGAGGTTTTCTGAAAGTGATGGTGGCACACTGTTTTTAGGTGAATTGTATGCCATCGAATTATTTTGAAAATTACACATTTACCCTAAGAAGCTAATCACCTCATTTCTAGCCACAATTATTTTGATTCTTGCCCTGGTAGTTGTGAAGTTATTTGACTGACTAAACCAGTAAAGTAGAAAGTTAAAAACCTACTGACACACCATAACTCCTAGTCTCACAATCAACAAGAAAAGTAGACACACACAAAAAAAAAGCAACTAGCTTAAAAGGGGGGGCCAAATTATTATTATTTTAAAATTTGATTACAACCAATTTTGTTGGCATTCAAATTAAAGATACTTTAAATTTGAATAATGCATATAACAAAAACAAATCAAGTTTGGTAAAAATGGGAACAGGAGTTTTTCAGTAATTACAGATTAGAAGGCAGAAATCAATTTAGAGAAACATAGGGTTCTATGTTCACAATGACTGTGCCATAGATTGAAAATTTCAGTAGTGCATTAGTAAGTTGTTCACATTTAGATCTTCACCTTGAAATTAGACAGCTGTTTCTTGAAAAAAATTTCAGTACCTTGTGCAAATAAATTGGTCTTCCATGTGCCTTAGCACACACTTAAAATTTTTCCATTTATATATACAAAACATCTACCCATTAGGGCAGGGCAAAATACATACTTTCATAACAAAACTATAATGTACCTCTCAAGTATGAACAATATACACATAATACATGGTATACAATATTTACAAAGTATAAAATATAATACAAGCTGTATGCAATTTTTAAACTCATCTTTTTCACTTGTATATGGCATCAAGGTAAATTCCCATTTTGGTACTGATTTTCTTTGAAACTGTCCAGATCAGAGGTTTGTGAAAAAATGCTTTAAATACAGACTTAAATCTGAACTCTTAAGTTTGAACTTTTAAGAGAGTTTTCAAGTGTACTGCCATCAGCTCCCTATTTTGGTTGGAATTTTCACCAGTGCTTCCCATCCAGTGGCTTGGAGGTTTTGGGAGCACGCTAGGTGAAGGTGGGTCACTAAACTTTGCTCCAGCATAATTTTCCTTTTGGCTCACTTCATTTAGGAGTGCTTTCTTCAAATGCATATTTTTAATGTTCTCGGTATTTTTAAAAGGCTTTTTTTCTGGCTTCGGATTTGTATCAGATGAAATGGAAGAATTCTGCCAAAAGTTATTTTCATTTCTTTTTGCAGAGGTGATCTTGGTTAGTGGCAAGTTATATTTGCTTTTCTGTCTGTTTATCTTTGGTTGTTCATACAAGTGTATGCCGTGAACAAGCTGGCCGTGGGGAAGGACAATTTTCTCCGATTTTCCCATCTTTGATTTTGAAACCTACAAAAACAAAGAACACAAAAGTAAAAATACAGTCTAAAGGTTCAGTCACAAATCTTACTATATGTACCGGTATATCTTATTCAAAGTTTCAGTCTTTAAAAAAAAAGTTCAGCCTTGACTGAAACATTTATCTGATTGCTCCATTTACCCATCACTGGATGTTATACATGCATCCAACTCCTTTTGTTTTAGGAACCGCCTGCTTTAAAATGCATAACTGACAACCAAAAGCCCAAGTACCTATAATGAGAGCAATGATCTTCTAAATATGTATGTCAACCTCCTTCAGAAAAACTAAAATTTAGGAAAGAATGATGCTAAGGGAATTTTTCAAATGCTTCCTTTTAGTTGAGCTTTAGGTTAAATTAGGGTTTAATTTAACCTTCCTTTAAAAGGAAGGTTCTTTTCAAATTTAGAGCAAACAAAAAAAATGTGATCACCAGAGTTTTAAGCGAGGAACTGTTTTTATAATGGTTACTAGGTACACAAAATCAAGTTTCTGGTAACCAAGCATTTCAAATATTAATTTACCACTTTTCCAGCTGTACACTAGTTATACAAGTACATCCATCCTGTTCTTAACTTTCTAGTTTTAACAAATGCTTCATTAACTTTGTTGTGCTAATTCTATCACTGTCTTAACAGAAGTGACAATTCTGAGAAGCAATAATTAAAGTGTTTTAGGTAATCCAGCAAGCTGACTGCTTTTCCAACATTTATGTTAAGGAAGCAGGACATAAAAATGGTACAGGGCAACATGCCAATTAGGGCACTAATTGTCAACAATCTGGAAAGAAGAGGGTGCAATTGTTAGGCAATGAGCAGAAAAAGCTTGCATTTAAACTATAATTTCAGAAAGCCACAACTTAAAAGAAATCTACCTTAATTTAAGGAACCATTAAGGACATAATTAGGAATTTTCTCCAAAGGATTGCTACATAAGCCCAATACACTCAAATAGCAGTAACGTTTTATCATAAATCTATGAAACCAAGTCAGTGAGAAGTTTTGACAAAAATCAATTTCGAAATGTTTACAGATTTAACCCACGCCATCCTAGTCCAATGGGACAGCAATTGGGTGGCATGTCAACTAGCTTTCCTTTAAAACACTGTATTATGCTTGATGCAATTAAGTCCAGTGCAGTACACAATGCGAACAGCTTAAAGATAGGCTAGTCAAGAGTCGGAACAAAAACTCACTGCCATCGGTCAATTCTGACCCACAGCGACAGAGTGAACTGCCCCTGTGGACTTCTAGACTATAAAATCTTTTCGAGTAAGTAGCCTCGTTTTTCTCTCGAAGAGCAGATAGCTAGTTCGAACTGCTCAGCAGTCCACAACCCACTCTAAGTTACTGACTACACACACACACACACACACACACACACACACACACACACACACACACGGGAAAACTCGATGGTTCCGAGTTCGGTGTGTTTGGGGGCCCCACTCACTCTGGGCTTAAAGCAGCCCAGAACATTAACTCGTTTGAAACGTAAGCAAGCAGGCTGGGTGGCTCAGCCGTGCGGGCGCAGAGCCCCGGAGGGACCGGCCTCTCCGCACGGCGGGACATCGCACATCGGAGCGGTCACTAGAGCTGGACCGAACCGAAACGCTCGCGGGCCGCTCAGAACCCCCCTGGGGGGCGCTCCACGCCGATCACCCGGCACGCTGGAGCTGGAGCCGGGACACCGAAAGCGAAAGCCTGCGCGAGCTTCGCCTCCTTCATGGGTGCCCGAGCGCTCGGCACGTAGCGCGCGCTGACGTCAGCCCCCGGCCCCCACCCCACTCCGCGCGAGCCCCGAACGCTGAAACCCCCTGGAACGCCGCCAGCCTTCTAAATCGGGGCTGTTGCTGGGGCGCAGCCACTCCTCCCATTGGCTGGCCCCCGGCAGCCAATCAGCAGCGCCAGCGCATGCCGCCCCCTCC